TTTCTACTACATGAACGCGAAGGTGGGGCTGCGAACACGAAGAAAAGAAGGGCAGGCTTATGCGATCGTGGATAAAAGCTCGTGAGCGCGAAGAAGAAATATTCCCTCCTCTAAAATTACTCTTCGCGAACGCGAAGGAAGGGACGCGAACGCGATTAAGGAAACCAGATGACAGAAAACAGCATTTCAAAAATAGAAGGAAATGGCCCGTAGCTCATCCGAAACACACCCGAGGCCCCCAGGACCCCATCTAAACATGCAAACAAGTTCCATAACCTAATACGGACTCGCTTGAGGTCTCAAGTTACATCAAACAATGCCAAAAATATAAATCGCACTACGAATCGAACTTATGAACTTTCAAAACTTCCAACTTCTAAAACTTGCGCCGAAACCTATCAAACCAACCCGGAATGACGTCAAATTTTGAAGGCAAGTCCCAAATAACATAACGGAGCTGTTCCAACTCTCGAAATTACATTCCAACCCCGGTATCAAAAAGTCCACTTCCGGTCCAAAACTCCAAAACTTCGACTTTCGCCAATTCAAGCCTAAATGAGCTACAAACCTCCAAAACACAATCCAGACACGCCCCTAAGTCCAAGATCACCCAACGGAGCTAACGGAACTGACAGAACTCCATTCTAAAGTCGTCTTCACACAGTTCTGACTACGATCAAAATCTTAAGACTTAAGTTTCCGTTTTGGGGACTAAGTATCCCAAATCACTCTGAATCATCCGGTAACTGAATTCAATCACGCACGCAAGTCAATACACATAATATGAAGCTGTTCAAGACCTTATGCCATCGAACGAAGCTTAAATTCTCAAAATAACCGGCCGGGTCGTTACAATGATATTGTTTGTGAAATTGAAGTTGGGATTGAGGAATTTGCGCTTAAAGTTAATTTTGTGATATGTTAAAGTGCTTAGGAGGGTTAGTCACTATTCCAAAAATATATCCTACCCGTCCTGTAACCCACATTACAACCATGAAAAAGTCCTAATTGATTTTAGATCGAGCAAGCCTACATTAGTGGATGTTTACATAATGGCAAGCCTATGGTACTTTGTGCATGCATGTGACGTCTTTGTGAGGGTGAGAAATTTTTTTGATATATGTGAGTCCTTAAAATATATTTGAGCATTTGATTCGAATATGTGGATTCAACTTACTCTCTTGTTCTTATGGTGAGGGCACATGATTTCGCAAGGGATAGGTGACGTTATTAGATGTCTCTATGATGTTAAGTGTTCAAGCCACGAATGCATTGTGATATTGAGTCGGTTGGTGAGGCTAGGATTGTTATAAGCATGTTGTCTTGTTGCTAAATAAATTTTTGAAGTATGGCATAGAGTAAAGAGAAGTGTGTGTTGAAGGCATATGCTAAAGTTTAATTGTTGCTATCAACCATAGTCATATGTATGGTGTGCTTCAGATGTGCTAAAAGAAAATAAAGTGCTCAAGGTTAGTATGAATTTGTGGTTGACTCGAGGACGAGCAGCGTTTAAGTGTGGGGTGGTGATGTTAGGCCAAAATGCTATACTTTTAGTACATTACTCGCCTTACATATTGTTAGTTTAGTGGTTAATTATGTGACGTTTGAGTTAAATTATATTGTTTTATGTGTAGGAGCATCGGAAGACAAAGACGAGTGAAGGTTGCACAAAAAGAGGACGAAAATTCAAGAAAAGAGCACAAAAATTACAAGTACCCAAAACGTGCTACAGACTAGGCTTCGCAAGGTCTATAGCTAGGTTGGCCGCTCTATAAAGCAGGTTTCGCGAGGTCTATAGCCAGGTTGACCGCGCTATAGATCAGGCTTCGCGAGGTCTATAGCCAGGTTGACCGCGCTATAGATCAGGCTTCGCGAGGTCTATAGCCAGGTTGACCGCGCTATAGACCAGGCTTCGCAAGGTCTATAGCCAGCTTGACCGCGCTACAGACCAGGCTTCACGAGGTCTATAGCCAGATAATTAAAAGACACGGGTTAAAAGAATCCGACCCGGATTTGGATTTAAGGACTTCAACCCTAGCCTATAAATACTCCCTAAACATGTCTGAATGGGGGGGGGGAGCCATTTTTAGGGTAGATTCAACAAAAAGGGACGTTTTTGGAGATGAGATTTCGACCTAAGGAGGCAAAAACACACCAGGAGCAAGGCAGAGATTTCTTCTATGAGTTTTTCACTTCCTTCTTCCTATTTTCATTATTGGTTATGAATTCTAGTATTGTAGTTTTGCATACTATTATGAATAGTTAATTTCTTATCTAGAGTTTTGATAGAATCTTTTGTAGGATAAATTCTTGTTATGTTTCATATAATTGAGCCGTTGGATTTCTCTACTTGTTCAACTACGTATTTATTGTTGTCGATTGAATGGCCATCATTTATCTGTGCCTATTTAGTGTGTATATTACTCGAGAGAGAGTACACATTTAGTTAATTATTGAACAACAACACTCCTAACGTATGTGAGAGATCAATACGGAGGGTTTAAAGGTGAGATTAGAGATAACGAAAGCTTGGTGCGATCGTAGTAAGCAGTGAATTAATGCCAGCTAGCGTTGCTCGAGAGAATACGTCTAGTAAATTGTGGTAGTTGCTCGAGAGAGAATTACGACATCCGAAGTACTCACGATCGGTAGAGAATACTTAGGCGAAATTACAGAAGACGTAGCGGAAAGGATTCCGACAATTGGGGAAATCATAACTCTAGACCTCCTTAGGCTTGGCTTCAATTTCATCCTTGTTAGTTGATAATTTTACTGCTTTATAATATTTGTTAGTTAATTAGTAGAAATAAAAATCGAATCTTTATAACTAGGAATTTGGTTGGACTTGTGTTTCTTAGCAATATTGAAGAACTTTAGCTAAGCCTTAGTTCTCTGTGTGATTCAACTCCGGACTTGTAAACCGGATTATATTTGCAACGACTGCTTAGTCCTTTTTTTAGGACTAGAGTTGCGCGTGGTCAGTAAGTTTTTATATAAATCCACAACCGTACCGATAATTAGGATAAATTTTTTATTTTATGAAAATAAACCGAAAAAATACTGAACCGTACCGAATAAATTTACATGTGAAAAATATATTTATATACTAAGTTTAAAAATAATAAAGCATTAAATTTTTCCTTAACCTTTGAAGTTATAAAAATGATTACAAGCCAACAAGTAATTAAAATCAAAATCCTAATTCTCAAACCTATTATGTTACTCCTACTGAAACTAAATTATTTCCAGCATATTCACTAGCAAGACACAAAGTATTCTAGCGATTATGAGTAGCAAACTACAATGTATTGAATATGTTTCTTTTTGTATGATTTAGATTTATCTTTTTGAATGCTTAATCTTCTATAGACTTTATTTTTGAGTTCCAACTTGGTTAATATCTTTCTACTCGTGTGATTTATTTTTTCTTTGTCTTTGCTTAATTTCTTTTACGTTGTTGTAGAGTAGTTGATGGATCTATACTATGACCATCTTTCATGTTTTCTTAATTCATCACCATTTAAACAGTAAAACTGTCTAGAAAGTTTTGCTAAGTTCAATAAAAGTATGTATGTTATTGCATTTTACTTTTACTAGCGACTTTTACATGACATTTAAAAAAATATCAAAAATTAACTGAACCGTACCGATACCGAAGAGTAACCGATATGATTGGGACGGTTTCGAAAAGTTTAATTTTAGTTATACATAATACAATAACCGAAAAACTGATATGATATAAATTTTATAAAATAACCGGCTGAACCGAACCATTGACACACCTAAATCCACCTATAATAATAATCTTTATAAATTGTCATTTTTCCTGATTTATATTACGTATTTATACTATTTGTGAATTTTTTGGTTACCTTTCCTAGGCCCAGCAAAATTGATGATTGGCAGTGTAGTGATTCCTTCAAGGTTCATTCTTATAACTTTTTTTCTTTAAAGTTAAGGCTATTTGGTCCCAATAACTTTTTTATCTTTAAAGTTAAGGCTATTTGGTCACAATAACTTTTAACTGATGTAGTTTTTAGAGAGTATTTCGATCCTTTTTCTTTTGACAATAAAACTATCTTGTCTAACTGTTTTATTAAGAGATATGTCTAAATTTTTAACTGAATATTTAGGGATGTGCTTTCTGATCAATCCAAAATTTGATCCTAAATACACTACTATTGTTGCACTTCTTTAAGAATATGACTTTCTAGATATATGATACTTAGGTATTTGATATCATAGACATAGAACAATAGACTTTTTGAAGCTAAAAGAGCAATACGACGTACATAATATTAATCTCACAAAAAGCTATATCACCTTTTCATTTAATTTTAACAAGACACTAAATATATAGTCCTTATTTTTAACTAACCTGTTATGTTTGGTATAGAAAAAAAAAGTTCATATTTTATCATAAAATGATCCTGAGTGATGATAAAGAGTTCAAATTTCGTTTCAAACTAAATACAATAATGGAGGCCATCAAGTTGGAAGACATTTAATTGTAGAGGAGTTACACCAAGTTGCAACAGTTGATACAATATAAATTGAATATGAAGAAATAAAAGCAAACAAACATACCAAAAAGACAATGAAGACTCAAAAACTTAAAAAAGAATCAAAACTAAAAAGAATTACTGTAATAACATTCGTTAAATAGTATTAGCTCTATCTATTTTTTTTGTGCCCAAAATACAATTTTACTTTGAAATAAGGAGCAACTTGTGATAGTAGAAATTTAAGTCCATATTATTGAAGCTAATATACACGTGCAGCGCACCTGCTTATAACTAGTACTAATTAAAAAAGATAATATAGACATTGGGAGGAAGAAAATCTTCATACTTAGCGTTAAAAGGAGAATTATTTTTTAAAAAATTAAATAATTCGAAAGGAGAAATGATTTTTGTTATCGTCTTCTTCATTTTTTTAAAAACAGAAAAAAGATAACTCTCTTCAAAGTTCAAACCGGGAAAAAAGAAAAGAAAAAGAAACCTCGAGGGAAAAATAGAAGACGGCATTAATTACCCCCAAAGTCGCCCGCTCTTCTATCTTTGTCCCGCACCCCGCCTCTCGCCTTTCTTCTTGCTCTGTCTCTCAGTTGCTATCTCACACATTCTCAGTTCCCTCAAATCACAACTTATACAATACAGAGAGTTTTCTTTCTTCGACTTCGTCTGAGTTTTCGTGCTCCTTTTGTCTCTCCAGTTCCATAGGTGAAGCTCAGCCAAAAGAATTGCCGTTTTCAGCGATTTTGTACCCTTTCGTGGACTCTTTAGCTTTTTGTTTCGTGGACTGTTTGACATGCGAATTCCTATATTGGAGACGCTGCGTTAAGGATTGAACAATTTTGATTTTGGACGTGAGGAGCTGAGGGTTTTAGAGCAGTTTTTCACTGAAGTTCTGCTATGGAAGCCGCTATTCTCAGCTCTTACACACCGCTTTCCTCAACGGCAGACCTCAGGATTCGAGGCAAGTCTATCTCCTTTTTTACTTTTTGCAATTTGTTTTCAAATTAATCACTGGTCCGTCTTTGCTGGATTTATTGTTAAAACTGCTAAGACTTTCCAAACAAACGCCTTTGCCATAGTTATTTCATAATGTACTTCTTTCTTTCTCTTGCTTTTCTGTTTCGTTCTATATCTTTGTGTGTTTGGTGTCACATGAATAAATTTCAAAGCTTGATTTCCAGTTGAATCGTTGGTTGCTCTCCTATGTGTGTGTGTGTGTGTGTGTGTGCGCGTGTCAGCACCAAAGAGAGCTTAGATAACTGATGACTACGTGGTGAGGACTGAGGGATATGATTCAAATGGTTGGAGTGAGGTGTTTCTGAAGAAATGATGAGTGCTATGTAGTCTTACAAGGCTGTATGCGTGGATGGCTGTACCATCCATCTGCCCCTTCTTGCGAGTGTTTATGTTGGCAAGCATCTTCTTCACCTGAAATGAGCAGCGTTGTTACTTGTTCTTTGGATCAGTTGCATAAATTATGAAGTCCGTAGTCCCCAAGAGGATGACCTAGTCTTGTTGACCCATTGTTGAGGCATGAGAGTAACAACTTGGAGATCCCAAGGTCCGAATTCCAGCTACCACTTGGGATAAGTCCGTGGCACAATTTCCTTCGCAATGTATGCTTGTGCACTGGACTAGCTGCTCGGTTAATTAGTTGAAGTGTGTGGCAAGCTGGTTTGTCCATTACCAATACAACATAAAATAAATAAAAATTAAAGTCTCCATAACCACATATGATTTTTATTAACTCTGGCCAGAAGTAAATGTAAGAACTTTAGGCAAGATATGAAGAAGGTTGAGAGCAAAGACCTGTGTTGTAAGCTTTCCAGTTTTTTATGTGAGGTTCAATGCTAGAAAAAATGCTTTTACTTCGGGGGTCTATCACCCCAATTGGTTTAGTTAGGAAATTCTTGTGAGTATGCCCCTATCCCGTAAGCCTTCTATCGTTGGGAGCCCCTTCCATTTGGCCCAAGCTTTCTTTCGATTACACTAGAATGTTTCAAGATCAGATTTTGAAATACAACAACTAGTTTTCTACTAGGTCACGGCTTCAAGACTAGTATGAAGAACCCATCCAAAAAAAATAAATAAAATTGAAACACACATGTACAGTGTAAATTGCAAAGCAGTTGATCTCTTTAATGATATACTCTTATTTAAGCGAATTTTGCAGGTTCCGTTTGGTTGATATTACTGTACTTGCTTGAGGGCGTTATCCTATAAAAACAATTATATTTTCTAAGTAAAGCAGTTTTACAAGTGGATGTAATTATGTTATTATCTTCCTAGGAAAAGCAATTGTTAAGACTTGTAATTTTAACGGTGAATTTTGCTTGATTTGAACTAGAGAATATATTTTAAATCTCTTGATTTTACTGTATACAGATTGCGGCAATATATAACTCGGATTATGCGCCAATCTTACAAATCTAAAGTATATTTATTTGCTTCATCGGCCTATCGCTCGAGCTCTATTTTTTGCTCTTTCTGGTAGAAACGCATTTAAGACCAACTTTTTTTACTTTTGGCTAGCAGGAAAGTTTGCTGGATGTAATCTCCATTTCTATAATTTGCCATTGAACAGAACACGCCTTCCTCTCAAGTTAAAATTTTCTGAATCGAGTAGAAGGCACTTTTTTTCACGAAAGGATCTGATATTGTCTAATGGTAGGAAAGAATTATCCAGCTATTTCACCCATCAACTTGCAAGTCACTATACAAGTATCAGGGCATCATCGGGAGAAACGCTGCATTATGGACAATCTTCACCAATAAGTGAAGGTGAGGGAGTGTCACCAACATCTACAGATGCCAATAACTTTGTATCCTTGCAGCTTAAGCAGAAGAAATTTAGAAACAGATTCTTGAACTTTGTAAGACTGGGATCTGTCATTGATAATGCTGCTGAGTCTTTTTTCAAGAGTGAGATACGGAGAAGGCTATTTGTGACTGCCATTTTAATTGTCATCAGTCGTATAGGATATTTCATTCCTCTTCCAGGATTTGACAGGAGGTTGATTCCAGAAGACTATCTCAGCTTTGTCTCAGGATCTGTTAGTAAGTTGTTTTTTCATCTAGACTTATACTTTCTTAGTTATTGGAGTTCAGTTTTGAAATGAGTTGTTTGAAGTTATTTGTTCGTCAGACACTGAACGGGGACTTGGGAAGGGGTGAAAAGATGATTCTTTTTCTTCCATTGAAGTATCAAACTGTCTTTGCAGATGAACTTGGCGATTCCACTCCTGAACTGAAACTCTCTCTTTTCCAACTTGGGGTCAGTCCTCAGATAGCGGCATCAATTCTTATGCAGGTCAGCTTACTTTCACCATAATATAAAATTTTTGAACCAGGATAAGAACATTTCACTGTTCTATGTTTCATAAGCTATTTTATTATATGCAAAGAAGTTTTTGTTTCGCATGTTCTGCTTACATGAATATATTTGTTATGTCGGACCACCAGAGGGATGTACCAGAATAGTTTTTCTCAATAGAGTATGAAATACCAACATCTTTGTGTGGACCTACATTTGTATGTTCTGTAGTATATAAATGTCAGGTGAAAAGAATGCACTGGCCCTCGGGCATGTCTCGGTTATAAAAAAAGAATATATTTTTTGGTGAAAAATGTTGAGACAATATTGACATCTATCAAAGTGATTTCTAAAAGAGATTTAAGGAATCTTGGAGGAGGGTGTTATCCGAGTTGGAGAAAAGTGAAAATAACAGCTAAACTTTTGTGCTATTCAAGATAATAAGAAAAGGTATTTGAACAATAATAATACTCACATCCAGTGACTGCACCATTGCAAAACTACCTCAAGCATTCCTCCAACATCATTTCCATTTAATTTATCATTGTCGTTTTGCTTAGAGCATTCTTTTAAAGGGTTTTATCTTCAAAAAAAAAAAAAATTTTAAGGATTTTCATTGCTGTGGAACAGAATGCATTTTCCATTTAGTTGATTAATACTATTGCTGAAAGAGCAAGTGATTCATGTGTCCTGATTCAGTGGTTTGATAGGGACCAAGGTATATGGAATTGTAGGATTCATCTTTCTGTTACATAATGCCTCAGATTTGTGCTAAACTAGTGAATGCTAACTTCCCTGTTCAGGTACTATGTCATGTTCTTCCTTCTTTGGTGAAACTGAGAAAAGAGGGCTTAGATGGGCATGAAAAGATCAAGAGTTATATGTATGTCTAGTTTTTTCATATGAATCAGTGAGATGGGTTGTTCTTTTACTTTGGTGGTCAATTTTCCTTGTTTTGTCATCAAAAATTGCACAAGCTTATGAAACTTTGGATCTATTTTAGATGGTGGATCTCGCTTGGTTTTGCAATTTTGGAGGCTCTTATTCTCTCTTGTTACTCACTTCCATATTCGATATATGCTGCCAGTCATAGGTAAGAGAGGTACAAATTTTTCGTGTAATAATCAATGTGAGCATACTTTTGCTATTTTCAATATTCATTGTGCACAAAATATCGTGGAGTATTATTTTTCTTGCATAATATGGGAGTTCATTTTCCAGTAAAGTTTTGTTTCTTTAAATTGCGTCATTCTAGCTCCATTTCTTCTGTGCAAACTATAAAGTAGCCTTAAAGTTATTTCTTTTTCTATCCCAGCTTTGGAAACTTAAATGACCTTTGGAAATTTTCAAATTTTGTTTTTTGATATTCCTTATTTTCCTAATTCGGAAAGAGAAGTGAATACTATTCTTGCTGTCTATTTACTTTAAGCTGATCTGTTTCTTAAGCATATTGTTCAATGTAAAATTTGAAAGTTATATTATTGAAAATTTTGAAAATGCTTAGAAGCACGGTAAGGCATGAAGTTGTAAATTCCCTGTTTTCCACTCCATCCCACATATCTCATCTTAAAGTGTCGTCAATGTCTCGGTTTGAAGTATAACATTGTTGTTGGCTCAATTAGAAAGAGCAAAGGAAGGGCTTGAAAATCTTCCCCCGGAAGTATACCCGCCTTCTTCTTTGAGCAAAGAAGGTATATATCCTATTGATTTGAAAAAGGTGGATTGGAATGTGGTTAATTTGGTTCAAGAAAATTACTTTATTGAAGATAGTTACTGATTTATCTGCACATAGTGATCAAAAGCAACAACTGCATCTAGCTCGCATAATGAATGGGATACTATGATTGCGGCAAGTTTGGTATATTCAAGTTGCCCCCTCTTTATCTATCGGAAGTAGGTAATAGTAATGCAACAGTTGTTTTTCGATCATTTTCTGATAAATTTTTCATTGACTTTTGATTGTTTTGACGTTCTCTTTTCCTTTTTTGTTCAATCGGATGAGAAATACTCCTTGAAGATTTTTGATTTTCTGAAGCTGGAAGTCTTCATCCGCTCTCTTAGTGCTGGTTTTAAGTTGATGAAATCTTTCTTTTACTGATTTAAAAAAGAGAAGATATTGGTATTTGGAATAATCAGCAAATCAAACTTCCTTGTGGATTCGTTCTTCTCATGTGCTATTTGAAGATAAATCCCAGAGCCCTTTCAATTAGCTATTATTTTTGGCGACTGAAAATGTTTTTCTGTGTAAATGCCTTCAGCATAATAGCATTGAATTGGTCTTGTTCCTTGAAATATTTAACGCCAATCATCTCTCATCTAAATCTTGATACATAATTGTTCCTCATCCCCGGTTGTTTGGGTCAAAGTTTCTTCTCATGCTGCTAATGTATTATTTACATAAATCTTCATTTTGTTGCAGGGTTAAGCATGTGTTGATGACTTCCTTCCTTTTAGTTTCTGGTGCAATGACTATGTCATGGATTTGTGACACAATAACAGAGTCTGGGTTTGGTATTTATTCCTTCTGTGCTTCTTTCTCTATCTTATTTTCTTTTCTTTCTTCCTTTCTTATTTTCTTCCTTTCTGTCTTAGATTTCTAATTCTGCTTGTTTTTTCCTGTTATAGGCATCTTTGCTGCTTGTTTGTCCTTTTTAATTGTTTATTATTATTATTATTATTATTATTATTATTATTATTATTATTATTATTATTATTAATGTTACTATTATTATTATTACTACTACTATTGTTGTTGTTGTTATTGCTATTATTCTTATTCTTATTATATATTTTTTCATCTCTTCTCTCATGTCATACTATTTTCCTTTGGGTAGTGCTTTGGCTTTTAGATACTCCCTCATGCAATTCTTATTGTCTTAGTTTGACCTGGTGACATGGCACGATTCTTAGTAAATAGCTAAAAATGTTTATCATTTTGTATTTACCGACACAACATGTGGAATTCATTGTTAATTTTTTAGATCTGGATATATAAAATAGTGACCAAGTTCTAGTCCCCCCCCAAGAAAAGAAAGAAAGAAAAAAGAATAGAAACAGAGTTTCATAGGGAAGAGTTAAAAGAAATGGCCGATGATCTTGAGTTATGTAAAATGTATTTAAACTTTATTTTAGGGAAACTGGACTGCAAAAAGAAAACTAGGCCTGTTTGACTGAGACATAAAGAATAGTAAACTAGTGGCATGATGATTCTTCTTATCTCTGATGAAAGTCTCACTGGCTGTTGAGAGTTGTTATGGCACACTTTTGGGAGGTCCATTTATAATTCTCCTCTTTAAATCTGAGATTGTAAGAAGTTCGAAGAATTATGTACTTGACTGAAATTGGCTGACTCAACTAATTTGGTATAGACTTGGTTGATCTACTGATGTATTTGAGGAATTATGTAACCGAAATTAGCTGACCCCAATTAATTTGGTAACAAGACCTAGTCATTGATTGATGTAAATTATATCTGAATGAAATTGAATTTGGCTGATTCTTCTTTTCTGTTTCCTTGCTCTTCCTTTTCATGTTCGCTGACCACTAATGGATGGTTTCAGGTCAAGGATCGACTTTGATTATTTGTGTGGGTATTCTCACTGGCTACACAGATACATTGCAGAAAATGTTAACTCAAATAGCAGGTGGGTTACAAATGAGATACTGTAGCCTCTTAATTCTTTCCGATCATTGTAATCAATTGGCAATTACATCAGCATGTTGTGTACGAGAATTGATTCTTTCTTTTGTCCTGAACCCATTTTTTACTTGTGTTGGAGTTTGGTCATGATCCGAAAATGGTTAGAAGTACATAACAAAAGAATTTGATAAAAGGATTGAATAGTTCACTCCCTCTAAATTCTTGATTAAAGTTTCCTTTCATTCTTAACATACACAGGGAGTAGCGGGAGCTGGTGGCCTTATGTACTTGCTGTACTAGGTGTTTTTACTGTTGTTACAATGTGGGCCGTCGTTGTGAGTGAAGGGTGCCGGAAAGTAAAGCTGCAATATTACGGTTTTAAAGTTGCTTCTGCTGCAAGGTGACTTGAACTCTGAAGTGCTGATGATTTGCATTTTCTTTTTGTTTGAAGTCAGATTTTATGTTGCTGAATGTTGTGAAAGCTTCATAGGCACAGCTGTATGCATAATGCTCATGTAAATGTTTTTATGAGCTAAGATTTCAGGGAACTTATACAACATTATTTGAGTGATAATGGGAACTTAAATTAAGAACTTGCCAGTACTACAATGAAATCTTATAATGGAATTTTTAGTACTGGTGGTAACTGGAGTGTATGTAGAGTGGAAATTTCTTATCAAGGAATTATTGAGTAGCTCATATCAGTTACTAGTATGAATGCATCTAAACTTCCATAATATTTGTGTTTTTTTAAATCATAGATTTCATGAGCATGCAATACAGAAGTAATTGCTTTCTCTTGCATGCCCGATCATGTGTAAGTAAGTGCGATTAATAAGAGCAGGGAGGTGTTATTGTACTCTGCCATATTTGGATGCACAATCCATGTACTTTTCCACCAAATGGGACAAGTTTATGACTGCTTGAGCACGTAGCCTTGTAGGACAGGGTTGAACTATTTTTTCACTTGATTGATATTTCATGACTGGAAAAAAGGAATTTTGTTTGGTGTTCTGGAGGATAAATCACTCAAACATGTCTAGCTTGTGCCTGCCATGTAAGTATGGATATGTACACACACACACACTCATTCATATATGCGCACACATACATACAAGAAGAAACTCTCTAGTTGAGACTTAGGATACCCTGAATAATTGAGTTGGAAACAAATTTGTTATTTGGCTTGGGAATTTGTTACGACTTAAATTTGTACTATCTAGGAATGTAGAAGCTAGTTATCGTAGAATTTAGTTTCTTTTACATACAGATATATATAATACTCTTTTGTGAATATATTAAATATTGGCATCTGATTTAAGCTACCCATCTTGAGCAGAGAAGATTCTCCAGTTCCGGAGGTGGAGCCCTATATACCATTCAACATAAATCCAGCAGGAATGCAGCCTATCCTTGTTACCTCCTATCTGTTGGCACTTCCCAACATCCTTGCAAGGTTACTTTATATTCAACTGAATTACATTACGGTCACACCAGGAGTTTAGTGGTTCTTTGTTTATATTAAAACAAAAGAAAAGAACTTTAGTGATTCTTTACCATTGTTTTATGAGTAGGATCTTACCTACATTAGTGATTTGGAGCCAATATTGTACTTGCGCTTCAGTTAGAATAAGCTTTTTGAGATTTTCAGCTACAGGTTTCTGACACATACTTTCTTTGACAGTCTTCTTGGTTCAAGGTTTTGGGAACACTTCAGAGATATTTTGAATCCTGACACTTCTCTTGGGGCAGATCCGTGGGTTTACTATACAGTTTATGCTTTCTTTGTCTTCCTCTTCAACATATTTGACATTGTAAGTTTGCCATTAATTAACATGCAGAAAGTGGATTTTAAAATGTTACATGCACAAATTCTTTTTTTCCTTGACTATTACTGCTTAATTGGAGTGGATAGAACATCAGTGGAATCAATTCAATAGGCTAGGTCCTTTTTAACAGGGATCCTGCTGGACTAAAAAGTTTCTATCTAGTAGCTTGGATTGAAGTCCCCCAGTTGGTCTAATAAAGGTGAAAGAAGAAATAAAAGATACCCAGACATGCTGGTGACTTTACGATGTTCAGGGCAGATGTTGGCGAAACTAGAAATTGAACTCAACCTTTAAGAGTTACTAATTAGGTAGCCAGGAGGTCAAAAAAGAATAGAAGACCACATAAGGCTGAATTTTCTATATTATCTTTCTCTGAATAAAAATATGTGTAGAAAGAGGTAGTCTTTTTAGGAAAGATGATGTCGCATTGAAAAAGTGACTAAAAACTGATTATCTGATGTCATTCTCATATTGATTTCTGTGCTTCTATCACTTGAAGAAGGAAAAGCTTTTGAAAGGTTTTCAGGGATATTCTCTCTTGCTCAGTTTTACTTAACAGTAAACTTGTGACCAGGCCAACATGCCAAAAGAAATTGCTGATTACTTAAACAAGATAGCTGCTAGAATTCCAGGTATAAAGCCTGGAAAAGCTACAATTGAATATCTGACAAAGATCCAAGCTTCAACACGGTTCTGGGGTACAGATCTCTCTCTCTCTCTAAACCTCAATTTCTTGTTGTGTGATTCGCTAACAGAAGATGCTTTTCCTTTTTTTTTTATTTTTTTATTGCATTGTTGTGCAGGTGGTCTGTTATTAAGTGTTTTGGCCACGACATCCACCATTCTAGACCATAATTTGCGCCGCATCAATGAAGGATATGCAATAGGATTGACATCAGTGCTAATAATTGTAAGTTAGTCTCTCTAAAACGTTAAGGGGAAAAAGTCCAAATGAATGTGATATGGATTCCTTACCTCTGGGGGTCTATTGAAAACAACCTCTCTACCTTCCCAAGGTAGGGGTAAGGTCTGCGCACACTCTACTCCTCCCAGACCCCACTTTGTGCGATTACACTGGGTTTGTTGTTGTTGTTGTTGTATGGATTCCTTACCTTCAACTTTTGGCATCAGTACTAATGATTGTAAGTTCATGGTATTCAGGCATGTGTAGTTGCTTTCTATTATCTTTTTTCATCAGAAAAAGGCATGTGTAGTTGCTTTCTGAACACACAAACAATCTCCCTCCCTTCCCCACCAATAGGCTCCCTAACCCTAAGGTTAACGAAAAGAAAAAAAGGAGGAATAAAAAGAATGTGATATGGATGCCTTTAATATTTTTCAAGCCGATTTAATTAATAGATATCTTCTTCTTGCTTTTACACATCTTAATCTATTGGGGAAGCGATTGAGAAGGATAATGACTTCTGTTATCTTTTAATGGTATTTGATATTCTCTTTTATGCAATCAATAAGTTCGTGTTGGACACCCTCAGTTATGCCCTTGAAATTGCTTTTTCTTCTTGTTCCTTGGAGAAGTTAATTGTTTATCATAGCACGGCCAATCTCATAGTCTTGACAATTCCTTCTAAGGGGAATGTTCCTGTAGTTATCTGCTCTATATTGTGGTATATATGCATCATGTTGTGAAAGCTACCTTGTAAATAGCTGGGAACTAGTTCCCTTATCTTTCAGAAGGCTGTGACCTAGCCATGCATCAGGCCACAATTTAATCCTCTGTCCATTGCAATATCATAAGGCAATGTCTTTATATTGAGGGTTGATTAGTAGAGTATTAAAATTTTCACTAGGCAGATATGGAATTTTACTGTTACAAAGGATTAATAGCAGTGGCAAGTATGACTTGACGGTAATGAGGTAATTCACATGATTTTCGTCCACAATGAGGTGATGTCTATTCCATAATAGCAAAAAAAGTAAACTGCAATTAAAACCACAAGGAGGCACCATGAAAGTAACCCATAAACTTATATAGGCAGAGTTCTTAACAAGCTCAGATTCAAAGAGACTAATAGTTCTTGTGAAGTTGTCTCGCAATTCTTCTTACACTTAGTTGAAATCACTACTATTATACCTTGGAATGTGGTAGAATGGCTATTATCATTCAGATGTTGTACTGAAATATTTCCTCTTCCTTCTGCTTTGCAGGTGGGCTCAATCATTGAATTGAGAAGATCTTATCAAGCATATAATGTAATGCCAAGTCTAAGTATGGCTTTGAAGCGGTATGGTGTATGAGATTGGAGGGTGGCTCTATTCAAGGTAGGTATATCTACTGTGTTCATACTTAGTTTGTGGTCTGTACTTCATGACTTATCTCATACATTATTTGGTGCTTGTGCAGTAAATGGGGTTCAATTCTTGCTTGCACCATTGGTGCTGAGAATATTTTGCAGAGTCTAGGATCTTTTTGAGTGAAATCTTAACTACTGATCAACTTTTGAAATTTGTAAGATCCAAGATGTCGCGGTCAGCCAACTCCTCCCAGTCAGGACACATTTCCCATATGTAGCAAGTAAAATATAGCCCATCCTTTGGCTGAGAGTAAATCATCTTATCCTTCTTCCTTGTTTCTTTTTTCCTGGTCACACTTAAGCTGTGCTATATATGATTAAATGAGCTTTTGGATGATTAAATGTGTTTTTGCAGGATTTGAAGTAATTGCATAATGAATGATACATAGGGTTTAGTGATGCTTGAAACAGGAAAAACCATTTTTACCCACTAGCTTCACAAATTAGATTAGACTTGCTACATGCATCACGATTCATCTTCTTCCTAAATTGTGTTTCCAGGATAAAGGATTAGCACGTGACAAGGACTAGCTTGTGCTACAAATAGCTGAAATTAAACAAAGACGAGTGATGGGGAGAGGTTTATTGATTTATTCATGTTGACAAAAACTGATGAAGTGCTATGAACATTAATAGAGTTCAAGATACCTGCAGAATATTTGTGCTGACAATTGTATATAGTTACATTTTTTATATGCTCTAGATGGCCAAGATATGGCAAGAAGCAAGTCTATTCTTCTGTTGGTGGCAAGCAAAAGAGGATGTAATTTTGCTTTAATTTTGAGGGGTATGTTTAAAATCTTCTTGTGTTGGTTGAAAGGTGTGTGCATCAGATCAGTGTGTGAAATGTTAACTACAGTTGCTCCTTGTAATTTGGCTGTGCAAACGTTAATCAGCCTTCACGTTTGCATAAAATTGAGAAATTGGGTAAATCTGTACGCAAATGTTCCTTTCTATTTATTGATGTACGAGTTGGAAACAGTGGAATGATTTTTTCCCCTTCCCTTCCTTCCCAAACGATGCATTACTTTGTATACTTATTTTTTGGCTAACGAAAAAGATTTTAACTCCTTTATCTCAATGAAACTATTCTCGTTTAGTTTGAAGTGAATTGAATTAAGGTGCTTATCTTAGCTTTATAAGTCTCTTTCAGCTTTATATAATTAACAGAGAAATTAACAAAAACAGCGAATATCTTAACATCATAGAACTAAGCAGCACCTTCTTTTTTAAAAAAATGTTTTGGAGAAAGAAATTACAATTTAAACTTTAAGGTGGTTAGTTGATGAATCAAAGGGTTAGCTACCCTTTGATTAATGAACAATGAAGATTGAACTCGCCAGAGATATCGGTGATTGATAATTTTTTTGTGATTACCAGTGTCTTGACTTCAAAATTCCAAGACATTTTTGTTCAAACCCTCATTACATGAGAAAAATAATAATTTAATAAAGATACAATTTTTATTTATTTTTTCTTTTAAGTTAGGGAACAATGAAGATTGAACTCTGTTGCATACAAGAAATCGAAGTAATTTGGAAGAGAAATCGGGCAGAACCCTAATTCAGAGTGAGAGAGAAAGGAGAGCCTTTATTCAACTGAATCAGATGTTCTTTTTACAAAATAAGTTCTCTCTACTTTGACTAAACTAACAACTAGGTATTTATATACAAGTAAGAAAGTGTTATAAATATATTATATTATGGATGTTCATTTAGTATTTCGTTGTAAATAGGCTTTCTGAAAAAGCTTATCTATACGAGACTCCACCGTAAATATGTTTATCTATTTAGTACTCTATTGAAAATAAGTCTCCCAAAGAAGTTTATCCTTTCGGTACCCCGTTATTGATAAACATCACCCCTCGGTAGAAGATTATCCATATTTGGTATAATGAGCTTTTCTTGTCAGTATCCCGTTATGGATAAGCATCACCCACCGGTAGAAGATTATCCATATCTAGTACAATGAGCTTATCCTTTCAGTACCCCGTTATGCATAAACATCACCCATGATAGAAGATTATCCATATCTGGTACAATGAGCTTATCCTTTCAGTACCCCGTTATGGATAAACATCACCCCCGGTAGAAGATTATCTATATCCGGTACAATGAGTTTATCCTTTCGGTACCCCATTATGGATAAACATCACACCCGGTAAAGGATTATCTATATCTGGTACAATGAGCTTATCCTTTCAGTACCCCGTTATGGATAAACATCACCCCCGGTAGAAGATTATCTATATCCGGTACAATGAGTTTATCCTTTCGGTACCCCATTATGGATAAACATCACACCCGGTAAAGGATTATCTATATCTGGTACAATGAGCTTATCCTTTCGGTACCCCGTTATGGATAAACATTACCCGCGATAAAAGATTATCTATATCTAATATAGTAGCAGCTTACACAACAACTTGCTTTATTCTATAAATAGAGACGATTTCAGTTCATTATGTACATAAGTTTGAAGTTTGAATAATATATAAGTTTCTCTCTATACTTGTCTTTACTTTACAGTCTTTATTTTATAACACGTTATCAGCACAAGACTCTGCCATCTCGAGCAAATACTTTGAAAGTATCAGAGGTACGGACTTTCTTTTTCTAAATAATGTCAAATCTTTCTAAACTTGAATTTGTAACCCTGGATATATCGGGCAAAAGTTACATGTCCTGGGTGCTTGATGCTGAAATTCATCTTGATGCGATGGGTCTGTCAGACACCATCAAGGACAAAAATCAAGCATCAAACCAAGACCGTGCCAAAGCAATGATATTCTTACGCCATCACCTCGATGAATGCTTGAAAATAGAATATCTCACTATTAAAGATCCAGTCATACTGTGGAATAATTTGAAAGATAGATATGATCACCTGAAGATGGTCGTTCTTCCACATGCACGTTATGATTGGACTCATCTAAGGTTACAAGATTTTAAATCTATCAGTGAGTATAATTCTGCTTTGTTCAGAATTATTTTCCAATTGAAATTATGTGGTGATAATATTACTAATCATGATATGTTGGAGAAAACTTTCACCACTTTTCATGCCTCGAATATGCTCCTGCAGCAGCAATATCGAGCGATGAGATTCAAAAAGTATTCTGAACTAATCTCACATCTTCTTGTAGCCGAGCAACATAATGGGCTGTTAATGAAAAACCATGAAAGCCGACCTACTGGTTCTTGTCCATTTCCTGAAATGAAGGAGACGAACTTTCACAAAGTTAAGCGTGAAAGAGGATGTGGCCCCAGTCGTGGTCATAGCCGTGTCGGGGAAGAAACTCTAATCATGGTAATAATAATGCACCAAAGAACCCTCCTCACTACCAGCAGTGAAAAATGAAAGAACAAAAATATGAAGCGATGCAAATAGCAAAGGTAGAAAATGCATGTTATAGATGTGAAGGAAAATAGCACTGGTTACGTACATGTCATACGCCAAAGCACCTGGTTGAGCTGTATCAGGCCTCCCCGAAGAAGACAGAGAAAAATGCTGAAGCAAATTTTATTTCTGAAGATAATTTAGACTTCATGCATTTGGATGTAGCTAATTACTTTACCCTCCCGTAAGGAGAAACAAGTCATGTGATCGGTGATGAATCTATAGAAATGTCAATATTTTAATTTTTGTTGTTTATAGTAGATAATATGGTTATGTAATTGTTGTACATAAATAAAAGTTATGATTTGATAATGATGTTTACTATCATATTTATTTTGTTTATGTTATTTTGAAGAAATTTTCTCTCATGATACCAGAAGTGTGTGAGCAATATTTGATAGTACAAAATATATCAACAACTCCTGAAGAGCTAGTTGTTTGTCTAGAAGACACATGACACCAGTAGTGTCCGATAAATATTAGATTGTGGATAATAAACGGAGGCTCTTGAAGAGCTTAAATACAAATATGTCATTCATATTATATGATTATGGTCAAAACATATGTTGTAGTAAACATGAAGTTTACTAATACAAATGGCTATCATATTGAGACTACAAATTATTGAAAGATTGGAAATCTTCATGTTTCCACAATCATAGAGGGTAAAATAATATGTATGTAAGAAGTGACCCACCATATTCTTCAATTTGTACTATATCATGTATCACGGTAAACCAGAAGTTTACTAATGCAAAATCAGTCACAATAAATCAGAAGTTTTACTGAGGCAAAAATAGCTACAGTAAAGCAGAAATTCGCTGATACAAAGTAGCCACAGTAAATTAAAAGTTTACTAATGCAAAAGTTTATGCCATAGTAAACCAGAAGCTTACTAAGAGATAACACATATCATGATAAACTTGAAGTTTTCATTTACCATTTTTAAATGAGCTATTTGAGAATTCAGATAAGCATATACTGAAGAACTAGAAGATTTTTCAAGAATTCTCTTGTGTTGCCTGTTCTCATAATAAATTGATTATACCAGCTAAAGTTGGGACTAAGACCCCTGAATTCTAGAATATATAAAAGGTGAATATGGGCTCATTCACCTATCATGTAAACTACTTATAGATGCATATATGAGATGGTTACATGTGTGTTTATTGTCAACCTGCAGTTTGACATTTGAAATTGCTTTTCTCAATTAAGGGCATAATTTTCATATTATGAAATCAAGATAGTTCATTTTGATGATACTGCTTTATATTCAAACTAGTTTAGTATTGAATACCTCATATTTATGATTAAACTATTGTTTATGAGAACAAAACCTCATGTGCTGGTCTAAGATTTTCTAAATTGCATACAACAATACTTGTATGTATCATACCAACAAAATATGATAAGTCATCCCTCAAATTGGTTTAGGATCAGAAATATAATATTTTTACCATCTAATAAATTTTGATGTGTGGTATATGATTAATTTTTATACCACAATACACAAAGATAGGTTTTCCAAAAAAGATTGGGGATGTGTTAGTTTTTCTAACATTTGGGGGATGAAATAAACAGCTGAAAAATATGCTATATGAATCGAATTATCATTAATATGATCCTCACTTAGAAGATAATTCAAGTCAAATGGCAGAAGCATTTGCTGATCCAAAATTAAATATCATATTTCAGCAGCAAATGCTCCTATTAAAATTAAAGTCCCTGAAGAATAAAGTTTACTGCACGCATGAAGTGTAGTAAACCGATCGGTTCCAAAGGTAACAATCCTTGAAATATGATAGGAGTAAATGAGCTCTAGAAGAACCCACGACATAACATTTCATGAAACTCTAGAAAAAGTTCATGTACCTAAAAATAAAGAAAGTGATGAGATCTCAACAAGTTATGCCGCTTAGGAACCGATACAAAATGATCGTCGACGATATATTTGATACAATATAGTTCACAATATTGTAAAAGATTGTGAGGATCAGACTTGTAGTCCGGACACCTGAAGATGTCATGCCATCTAAATGCAAGTCATAACCTATACGACTCATTTCATTAAGTCTATATGAAGATCCCTTAAGGATTTAAAATGCCTGAAGCTTATAGTTCAAAGTATCGTGAAATGTACTCAATCATATTACAAAGATCTTTGTACGGTTTAAATCAATCTTGGCGCATGTGATATAATCGCCTCAGTGCATATTTGATGAAAGAAGGTTACATAAATGATGTTATTTGTCCATGTATTTTTATAAAGAAAATGGCATCAGAATTTTTTATACTTGCTGTTTATGTTGATGACATAAATCTTGTTGGAACTCCAAAAGAGCTCCAAAAGGCAATTTAATATCTTAAGAAAGAATTTGAGAGGAAAGATCTTGGAAAGACAAAACTTTGTCTTGATCTGCAAATTGAACATTTAGCAGACGGGATCTTTATCCATCGATCTGCCTATACGGAAAGGGTCTTAAAACGCTTTTACATGGATAAAGCGCACCCATTGAGTACATCAATGGTTGTTCGATCACTTGACGTGAAAAAGATTTGTTCCGACCTCCAGAAGAGGATGAGGAACTCCTTGGTCCCGAAATACCTTATCTTAGTGTAATTGGTGCATTTATATATCTTGCTAATGCTACAAGGCCTGACATAGCATTTTCTGTTAATTTACTAGCAAGATATAGATTTTCTCCTACACAGAGACATTGGAACGAGATTAAGCATATATCACGATATTTAAAGGGAACACTTGATATTGGTTTATTTTATTCTAACAAAGGTAGTGCAGATCTTGTTGGTTATGCAGATGCAAGTTATTTATCTGATCCACATAAAGCTCGATCTCAAACCGCGTATGTGTTTACATGTGGAGCCACTGTCATATCATTGCGCTCCACAAAATAATCTATTGTTGCTACTTCTTCAAATCATGCTGAGATAATAGCTATTCATGAAGCAAGTAAGAAATGCGTATGGTTGAGATCAGTGATTCATTTTATTCAAGGAAAATGTGATTTGGAATGTGATAAAAGATCCATAATTTTATACGAAGACAATGTTGCATGCATAGCCCAATTAAAGGCAGAATTTTATAAAAGGAGATAGAACAAAGCACATTTCACCAAAATTACTCTACACACATGATCTTCAGAAAAATAGTGACATTGATGTGCAACAAATCCGTTCAAGTGACAATCCGACAGATTTATTCACTAAATCTTTGCCAACTTCAACTTTTGAGAAGATGGTATACAAGATTGGAATACAGAGACTCAAATATTTGAAACAAGAGTTTTATCAGGGGGAGTAAAATACGCGCTATACTATTTTTCCCTTACTAAGGTTTTTCCCACAGGGTTTTTCTTATAAGGTTTTTAATGAGACAACTAGTTATATGTATTACTAAATGTGTACTCTTTTTCCTTCACTAGAATTTTTTTCACGGGGTTTTTCCTAGTAAGGTTTTAATGATGCATATTATCTTTTAATGAACATCCAAAGGGGAGTGTTATAAATATATTATATTATGGATATTTATTTAGTATTCCGTTGTAAATAGGCTTCCTGAAGAAGCTTATCTATATGAGACTCCGCCGTAAATATGTTTATCTATTTAGTACTCTATTGGAAATAAGTCTCCTGAAGAAGTTTATCCTTTCGGTACCCCGTTATGGATAAATATCACCCCCGGTAGAAGATTATCCATATCTGGTACAATGAGCTTATCCTTTCAGTACCCCGTTATGGATAAACATCACCCCCAGTAGAAGATTATTCATATCTGGTACAATGAGCTTATCCTTTCAGTACCCCGTTATGGATAAACATCACCCATGGTAGAAGATTATCCATATATGGTATAATGAGCTTATCCTTTCAGTACCCCGTTATGGATAAACATCACCCCGGTAGAAGATTATCTATATCTGGTACAATGAGCTTATCCTTTCGGTACCCCGTTATGGATAAACATCACACCCGGTAGAGGATTATCTATATCTGGTACAATGAGCTTATCCTTTTGGTACCCCGTTATGGATAAACATTACCTCCGATAGAAGATTATCTATATCTAGTACAGTAGCAGCTTACACAACAGCTTGCAGAAGCAGCTTAAATAGCAACTTGCTTTCTTCTATAAATAGAGGAGATTTCAATTCATTATGTACATACGTTTGAAGTTTGAATAATATATCAGTTTTTCTCTATACTTGTCTTTACTTTATCGTCTTTATTTTATAACAAAAAGGTTATTTTTACAAAAATAAATACAAAACAAATGAATACTTCCGGGTCGAGTCAAGGTGGATCTGTGGTATTCTTATGGGCCGGACCATATTGGGCTCCAACAAACTCACAAGAGATATTGCAGGACATTTTTGTTCAAACCTTTCCTTACATGAGAAAAATCAAAATAATAATTTAATTGGGGAATATATTGGAAAATCGGAGCCAAAACTCTGAGCAGCGCGCTAAAGTGGTAATTTGAATTTACATGACCCAAATCAGACGACTATAGAGAGCTGATGGAAGGGAAAGGAGAAAGTGAAGTAGGTTTCACAGACATCGAAACAATCTCAGATACTCTCAACAGCTCTATCAGATTCCATCTTGTTACTGACATCTTAGGTTTCGTCCTCTATATGCACCAGCAAATCCCTTCGTAAGTAGTACAAAATTTGATTTTGTTCATTTTTTTACGTTGTTTGTTTCTCTGCTGATGCTCTAATTGATCGCCTGTATGTTGTTTGTTTAATTGCGCAGCATACTGCAGGATCTCACTCTAGAATATGATGTATTGAACTCTGAATATGCGGAATTGGTAAGTGAGCACTATCATTTACTTTAAAGTATGCTGCTCTTTTTGTAGCGGGATTTTGATATTTTCGAAGTCTGATTTTTAAATTCACGGAAAGATAATGTAGTAAATGGAAAAAACAAAATTAATTTTTATCTACTTTTGGTAAATCAAAAAAAAAGAAGAAAAAGTGGGGAAGTCTTGATTTACCAAGGTAAATCAAGACAAGGTGGGTTGCTCTGATGGTAAGCGCCCTCCACTTCCAACCAATAGGTTGTGAGTTCGAGTCACCCCAAGAGCAAGAATAAGGTGGGGAGTTCTTGGAGGGAAGGATGCCGATGGTCTATTGTAAATAACCTCTCTACTCCAGGGTAGGGGTAAGATCTGCGTACACACTACCCTCTCCAGACCCCACTAGTGGGATTATACTGGGTTGTTGTTGTTGTTTTGGTAAATCAAAATAAAATTAAAGTAATACTTACTAGTAGTTTAAGTTTTGAAGTATGTTATAAACAAAAATGGTGTCTAATTTAGCATATGAATTAGCGAATTTTGGCTTTATAAATGTTGCTAGGTATTGAAAGTTGTACGGTACATATACGGAATAAGTCCACTGCAACAATTATCTTTCACTGGCTTTCTATTCTACATTACCCGAATCAAGAAATATTATAAACTTTCTTGTTAGTTAGATAGTTTAATTTTCTTGTTTAGAAATCTAATTCTGTTAGTGTATAATGTACTTAGGTTTCAGGTCATATTGTATCCTAGAGCATTTTTGCAGAACTCTGCTTGAACTCCAATAACAATTGATAGGAGAGAATTTAGTTGTAAGGAAAGAGACATTGCAACTTGCTTTTGAAACCATTGTTCTGTTCGTAACCATCTTTTGTGGTACTCGTATCTCTTACACTATGACCTAGTACTGGATTTCTTTTAGGAGACAGCTCTTTTACAAGCAGAAACTGGCCCTTCACATAGAAAGCATGCCGCCAGGAAGAGGGAGGTGAGGATGGGAATAAGAAGACTAGATAAGTTAATGAACACTATATCTAGTCTCAAGGCTGCTCTTCAATTGATGATCACGGAATTTCCTGCTATTCAAAGGGTTGTTCTGATTCTTGGGCCTAGTCCTTTGCGCCCGCTACATGTGTGTGAACTCTGCTTTTCGCATGAAACGACAGCCTCAGGAGGAGATTTTACTAGGAATCGAGTTGTGGAAGCACTTTCAAAGAAGGTTTCTTCTTTTGTTTATTTATGTTACATCTCACATTTCTATATATATCTATGTATTTCTATTGTGCATGAATTTTGGGTTTCTGTTATACACAGGCTATTCGGGTCTTAATTTCAAAGGGTGCAGGATCTAGCTTCACTGCTGGTATTTTATTGGCAATTACTATCTATTAGTGATACAATAAAAAAGATATACTTGCTGGGAATTCATTGCTAGTTCTCATATCCTTTTAGGTCCAACCAAGTTGTTCCTATTGGTTCAAGCTCCTTCTTCAATCAACTTGCCTTTGCATTTTCTTCCAAAGAGGGATTTTAGGTACAGCAAAAAGGTATGTTCCCAGAGGTTATTCCTTTGAATTCTAAATTGTTGTGATTCGGTTCTGGGGATGCATATTCTCCTGGTAGACATTCTTGATGATAATTCAGATGTTTATCAATATTAGCTGGTTCAGCTGTGCTCGTCAATTATTGATCATCTTCAAGCTTTCGTAATACCAATCTGATGAGAATGAAATCTTTCCTGAGCTGGTGCTTTGCATATAGAAGCTCCCTCCTAATTTCTCCCCTTCTTTTCGTCATTTTCTTTGCCTAGCAATGATAATGCTGGTTGACTGGTTTATATCCCCTCTCTTCCCCAGTTCATTACGAATACATCTTGCAAAATTTGAAACAATAGCTGGACTGATGTGAGCTAGAGATAGACGTTGAAGCTCCTATTAGCTTTTAATAAATAACAATCATCCGTTGAGAGTCTAGCATGTATTTTTTTTCCAAGGGCTTAACATGATATCTAACTTCATTATTCAGAGCCTTATATTTATGAAGCATCACGATGATACACTATTTTGCTTCTATAAATGCTTTGCTGACAAACATTTAACATGTGGTGGTGCAGATAGTGCCTTTGAAATTGCGGTTTAGTTGTAGAAGCAAAAATCTTGAAAGAGAAGCATGTGCTGATGATGCTCAAACTGCTAAAGCAATCACATCGCATAGTTCTAAACTTGAAGACGTTATCTGGTACTTTCAGTTTTCAGTCCATGATAACTCTATATCTTTTATCCTTTTTTTTATGTTTGTGTTTTCTTGATCTATCCTTGTCATTGACATTGCTATTCAGAAATCTGCCTACAAAAGGAAAAGAGAATTCAAGCTTTCATTCAATATGTTTTATGCTTCAAAAAATGGGGAATATGAAGGATTTTTGTCAACTCTCATCACTAAGATTTCAGTTTCACTGTTTTCTGCGCAGATTGTCATTCATATCGAAATATAGTGAATCAAAGAACTTATGATGCTCTAGCTAAAAAGGCAGTTAAATTGTTTACTGGGGATCTAATAATGCTTGCCATCCTAGCTTTCGTCATAAATAGTTCATTTGTTGTTTTAACGTTTTTTTTCCAAGGTTTGGCATCCTGGGACATACTTTAGTTCATTGACACTAAAATGAGATGGTATGAGGGGAAAAAATGCATTATAGTAAGTAGGCATCATGTATAAAGTTGAGCACAATGTGATGTGAACCTTTAAATCATGTCTAAACATTTTAACTTTTTTTTACACCTGCAACGGTGGGATTTGAGTTTTTGGCCCTTTCCATCTGATTAAAAATCAGTCATGATATGGAGTGGTTGAAGCATCCTGTCTAAAAGCCTAAGTGAAAAAACAGAGGCTTTGATCAGTTTTGAATCCAAACCAAAGTTTTTATTTGTACGGTCATAGAGATGTTTAGAAGTTATTCGCTATAGACAGACAGTCCTGTTAGTTGTACCATTGGGTAGTGCAGCAGTTGTTGCAATTTCTGTTTTGAGTCAGTATTAAATATTCCTCCGCCTGCCTCCTGAAATTGTGTGAAATTGACATTTCCGAACTACTGGGGACTCTTAAGAGTGCCATGTAATTATCAATTAGATCAGGGAAGCAGCTGCAATGCCTTTTTATATGCTTACTTGTTTTTCAATGTTATGCTTATTTCTAGCCCAGATTTAAGGCAAAGATAAAGTTGGGCAAAAGGAACTGCTCAGAATTGTGCTAAATTCCTAATGGTGTTAGCTTCAATGACTTGTCAGGTTTCAGTGTCGGCATATTATTAAGGGCTTGGCTTCCAGGACTTCTACAACTGAAGAGTGAAGATGGCTTCCTTCTTCCTTACCCCC